ATATGCTTCCTTAGTTGATGGTATCCATATTGTTATATTTTTGTGCTCCCATTTCTATCTCCCATTCTGTATCAGTGTGTTCTACCAAACATGGACTATATAGTCTCTTCTTTAGGAATTGTTGTTGAATATAAAGAAATGAATATTAAATTTTGTGTTGATTCCCTTGATTTTAGTTTAGGTTTTTCGCTAATGTGAATACACTCTTAAATGTAAAAAATGTTATTAAATTCTTTGCGTATTGCTTTGATTTACAAACTTAACAATGTATTACTTTTAGCTATAAGAATAAATGTTTACAAACAAATCATAAAAAATGACCAACACTTCCAATAACAATGTATTTCTCTTTTAGTTATAAGGATGCTTGCTAAAAGATAGTGTCATATGATCTAAGGACACGCCGTGGGCCTGGCCGTGCAGTGCACGGCGGGTACCTCATAGTATATATATATATATATATATATAAAAGTTAGTGGCACGCAAATGGCGACAAGTGACTTAATTCATGCTTGACAAGTGTCAAATTCTAGTGCAATTACTTAAATGGCCTTTTATTTAAAATTGCTAAACAATATTTTATCGGGATTGCTATTTGTCACCCAAAATTACTACTTGTCGCCCGAAAAAAATAATAAAAAATGATAAATTTACAAAAATATCCCTGTGGTAAAAAAAAAAAGTTACTAGAAAAAGGCATTCAAACGTCTATCAACTAAGCTCGGTCAGCAAAGGAAACGTCCAAATATGAAGCCCGACTCTAAAGATAAACGTCCAAGAGAAAAGCTTTAAAGCAAACCAAACGTCCCTTATTAATGCTTGCCTATAAAAGCAAACGTCTAACATGGAAGCTCCACTGTGAAAACAAACGTCCAAGAGCTAAGCTTGGAAGTTAAGTAAACATCTATCTAGGAAGCTTGAGGCAACGTGAAACGTCCAAGAGTTAAGCTTTAAAGCATACCAAACGTTCTCTATTGAAAATTGCCTATGAAAGCAAACGTCCAGAAGCTATGCTTGGTATCCAAGCAAACGTCCAACATGGAAGCTCCATTGTGAAAACAAACGTCCCGGAGCTATACTTGGAAGTCAAATAAACGTTCTAGAAGGAAGCTTAAGTCTTTAAGGAATGTCTTGTAGTTATGCTTTGAATCCAAACAAACATCCCAGAAGAAAGCTTAGGACAACAACAAACTTCTTTAAGAAAAGCTTTATGTACCCAGAAACGTCCAACGTGAAAGCTTCCTCAATAATTTGATTTTTTCCACATATCACCCAAATTATTTTCCCACATATCTTACAATAATCAACCTAACATCAACCCATGCAACAAATCTTTAAAAGGATATAGAATTGTTATTTTATGATATACACTTATTTTTAATATAATTTTAATAATAAAATCGTAATCATATTTATTAATGACAAAATATTTTTTTAATAGAATCATATTTTAATAAAATCGTAATTTTTTATTAGTTTACAACAACAACAACAACAACAACATACCCAGTATATTCCCAACAGGTTGGGGTCTAGGGGATCAGTTGTACGCAGACCTTACCCTTGTAATTATACAAGGAGGCTGTTTCCGTAGCGACCCAAGATGCATTGCGCCGTTTGATATATAATCAACTAATCAAGGGAGAAAAAGTTCAGTAGCATTAAATCCATAAGCAACAAAGAAAAAGTGAATAGTATCATCTGAGTAAAAGAATACATATCCTAAGAAAAGCAGAGCTTCCTTCTTCTTTGAGAATAGTATTTATGCAGTGAACTATACCATTGTACCGCTTTTTTGATCCCTGTATCATTAGTTTACAAATAGTATTAGTTTCCAAATAATTCTTATAATTGTGAATTGATCTCACTTAGACTATTAGTCCAATAGAAATGGCCTCATTTTTTAGTCAATCAAAGTAGAGGTGCATATTTTTTAGAGGCCATTTCTATTGGACTAAAAAATGAGGCCATTTAGGTCGAGGCTGGACTCCTCAATTACGTTGGGACTTGTCTTAGAATCTTATCAAGGCTTGCTACTCGCAAGTCTTATACATATATATATATATACTTTGAAAACATTTTATGTTTAAGTCTTTTCGGTTGGTAAATATCTTGGCTTTAACTCTAAGGACATCTAGGGATCAAACATACTACATGGATCAAGAAATAAATCACTTAGGTCATATAATCGTGCATTTCGATAGTGCGTGCCATTTTCGAAAATCAACAAGTGATTTTGTAAAACATGATATGCGCAGCAATTTATAAATGATCACAACTAATAGCACATAAGTTGAAATAACATGAAACCAGTGGCATGTGATTCCTAAGACATAGATCTACAACTCTCAAGAACAACTTAGAATCAGACGAGGTCATTTTCTACATGATAAATCAACAAATATTCACATAAGGGTGCAGTAAAAAACATTCAAACAGGATGGCAGTATTTTGAGGATAACCCGAGCTACAGTCATAATAAAAATATGAATCTGGTACTCATAGAAAGGTAAGAAATAAAGATACAATTTTTGTGAAGACAACTTTAGCAAATTCTGACATCGCCACAAAGATAAATCAACAACAACACAAAACATAGCTGCAGTCCGGAAAGGAAAAGAACAACTTACAGCCCTTCAGTAATTCCAAGATAACAGAAGCTACAAACATGATATTACTGAAATTCAAAAACCCTAAGTTAGCTAACTCAATTTCCTACAACTTTTCTGAAGACTCTATTGGCAAAATAGGAAATTATCAATGAGGTTAAGTAATAAACATTTAGTTCACAAAACAGTCCGGAGAACTACTTTTCGAATGGGTAGCACTTTAGTAAAATGGCAACAATTCAAGCTACACAACTCCAATTTATACCAATTTGAAACCTGCAGAATCTACACATGGAATTATATTTATAAACACGAAAAATATTATTCAAATGAATTTCTCGAATCAAAATAAATATAGCAGATTACAATCTCTATTATTCGGAGGGCCAACGCCTTGATTTCGGATCAAACGCTTCGCTTCGCTTGTTCGGTATTTAGAGATTTGAGTACTTGCGGAAAGATTTTATAAGCTTTAGCAATGAAAAAGCCGTCGAAATATCCCAAAAACATGAAGAACACGAATCCTTGGTCTTCGTCGCAAAGTAGACCTTGGATCTTCTCCACACCGGTTTTGAGTTTACTAACGTTATTCGGAGGCTTTGCAGCTTGTTTTTGGATTGAACGCCAGTCTTGAGGTTGAACGCGCTTGAATCTTACTTCGAATCTTCAAAAACTCCTTTGAATCTTCAAGTACACTTGAATCTTGTTGAGAGAATTCTCTAGAGCTCTTGAACTTGAATATGAATTATGAAGTGTTTTTTGTTACATTAGGGAGAGCCCCTATTTATAGGTGTATGAGGGAGAACCCTACCAAATTTAAGAATCGTAGGACGCGATTTGATTGGTCCATGATGATTCACATAAGATCTTTTAGATCTACCTAGATTTCTCAAAGATCTTCTAGAAGACATGTGATTTATTACCAAGAAATATGATTTGACACTTGGCAATAACTGATTGGTCAAGAATTAAAATAATAAAATATCAACTAATTAACTATTTAAATTTAGGAATTAAATTTATGGAAATTCCTAAAATATAAATAGAAAATATGGCTTGATTTTTAATAAATTAATTTCCACGTAGTGCCATTTGATTGACCACAATTTTTGTGCATCTACAAGAACATTTGGTATGCTTTAATGCTTAACTCTTGGACATTTTGCGTGGCCTCAAGCTTTTCAATTAGATGTTTACTTGAGTTCCAAGCTTAGCTCTTGGACGTTTGTTTTCACAGTGGAGTTTCCACGTTGGACGTTTGTCTGGCTTCCAAGCTTAGCTTCTGGACGTTTGTTTTCATAGGCAAGCTTTGATAAAGGACGTTTGGTATGCTTTAAAGCTTAACTCTTGGACGTTTCACATGGCCTCAAGCTTTCCAGTTAGACGTTTAGCAGCAGAATAAGCTTGCAATTTAAAAGTTTTAAATGTGTTGCCCCTTCTCATTTAGACGTTTCTTTTCAGAGTCGGGCTTCGCATTTGGACGTTTCCTTTGCTTCCAAGCATTGCTCTTGGACGTTTGTTTTCACAGTCGGGCCTCTTTGTCTTGACAGTTTCTTTATCTTTTCACGCAAGTTATCTTTTTTTCATTTCGTTTCTCTCATTTACATTCTTCTGGCCCCAATTTCGACCCTCTCTTTCTTTTTCGGCCCTCTCTCTCTTACCCGGCACAGTCAAATCATCGGTGTTAATACCGACTCTCCGGAGCTGTCACGTTCCCCAGGAGATCTATGGCCACTGTATTGCTGTCTTTGAACGACATGTTGGTCGGATTCCAAAAACTTCACCGTCCAAAAAATCCCTAGCGACTCAATTTCGATCGTGACCCCCAGCTCGGCCTTCTGAGACTGACATCCCCCGTACGACGTTGGGGAGATATTCTCCCTCTTTGACCCATTCTGGTTCCAGCCCTTTCTGTTATCCGGCCAGCGTCAGCCTGAGCCAAACCCGCGGCCAACACGGTCTCCTGACCGTCCTAGACGGTCAACAGGGTATGATGTGACCTTTTTTTTTTTGGGGGGGTGTGTGTGTGGTTATGATTCTTGGCTACTGTTTTCAGATTTCAGTGTAGGGATCATGATCTAAAGGTTTGATTTTGTGTCTTTTTATAGGAATATAGATATTGATTAAGATCGAATCATGGGTTTTGTATGATTTATACAGTTGATTGAGCTTCCAATCTCAAGTTTTCTGGATGTTAGATTGTTGTGGTTTATGCTGCTATTTTCAATCTTTCAACTTTTGAGATATCTCCTCGCATGCTTCTCAAATCTAATTATTTGTCGTTATTTCTTTTGTTTATGGACTGTTTAGCTTACTACCAAATTGCTATATATTATTTCGATTATTAAGCTATCCATTGGACTATTAAAGAATTTGTGTTCTTCGTTGTAGTGGAATGCAAACAACTGAAGCGCTTAAACTACAGATGGAGGTCAAAAAGCGACTTCATGAGCGATTGGAGGTATATGATTTTCTGTTTCATTGCAAATTTGATTAGCATAAAGGCATTGTATTCCATCAGAAATTTTTCGATAACCATTTCCCTTTTTATTACTTGTTTTTGTTTGGTGAATTGTTTATTTTTGCAGGAACAAATGTGCAGCTGGGCATTCAGTGTCGGCAAAGGAGACAGTTGAGGTGATGACATGTGATATTAACGAGGCTATTTCTTGTGAAATTTCTGGTATGATGATTTGGTGCTTTGATTTTTTAAGTTTATTTTGATGGTTGTTGAATTATGTGAATTATTAAAATTTGAATTGTGGTATGCCCTTCAGTCCCATACTTATGCCTGATTATATTCTTTTTGGTAACTTTCACCCTTGTATTTATCCAGGTCATACTGTCGAATCATGGGGCAGAGTACACCTTCACGGGCTAAACCAAGTCAAGTGGACATTTGATAGTTCTACAAAGGTTGAATTAATTAACATTAGTATCTTCATTCTATGAGAAAAAAATTGTTGGCAGTTTGAAAGAAAATGAAGAGAATTTGATTCTCACTTTTCTATTCTGAAGAAGAAGGATTTTTTCTTTTTTGCTCATTTTTCAGAATTTGATACATTTTTTCTTCACATCTGACTCAAAAAAGATTTGTTCAGTATCTAAGAACCAGTGGGCGAAGCGAAGCCAGAAGATAACTCACCGATAAGAGAGGTGGCCCTCACGGTATCGACCATGGATGGTCCCTCTCTCATTCTCTTTGAAATACCAGAATTGGTAGGTATCTTCAGGTGAGGTAACTCTAAATTAATTCTTTCGGCTTTTCCTTGATTTTTTCCTATACCACTTCGGGCACAAAACGGGGGAGATGAAAACGTAATGGTTCTTTTCTGCTAGAACATTTGGTTCGTTTGTTGATTATACTGGTTCTGGTTTTCGTGAATGAGGCTTTTATTATTTGCATTTTACGCTGACATGGGTAGCTCGAGAGATATTGCAATAGGGCCCGTGGCAGTCGTTTCACTTCTTCTAAGAGCTATGTTGCAAAATGAGATTGAACCGGTCAAGAATGCACATTATTACCGTTGGTTGGCTTTCACGACAGCTCTTTTTGCTGGCATAACACAAGCGACCCTCAGCATTCTCCAGTAAGATGTTTCTTTTTTTCAGGTTTAAACGGTTTAAAAGGGATTTTGAGTAATGTATAGCAAAAACTTTTGTCTTTGCGCGGATTGGGGTTCTTAATAGACTTCTTGTCGCATACGGGCATAGTCGAGTTCATGGGTAGGGCCACCATAGCAATTGCTCTCCAACAGCAAAAAGGCTTTTTAGGCATAAAATAGTTTACCAAGAACTCAGATATTGTTTAGGTTATGCCAGTCTGTTTTCAGCTCTGCCCATCATGGAGTTAAATAAGACTTACATAGGTAGGAAACATTATTGGAAAACTACCCAATAATATGCCATAAAAACTTTGTCAAATATGTGCCTTTGGTAGCTGGTAGCCAGTTATGTTTACACTTCTTCTATTTGCAGGCAATTTGCTCAGTGTTAACGGGTCCGGAAGCTCCAATACATAGCTGAACTGAAAGACATGCAAGCCTTACAGTCAAGTATTAAATCCTTCCTTTTGATTACATCCAGATGGACTTCATGCATTACTTATTGTTTGCATAGCCATGTCTTGTGTAATTGCAGGCAGACGATTTTGAAGCTTCTGCGAAACTCGAATTCATTAACCAACAAAATCTCATTATGAACATGGAGAACAAAGCACTGAAGCAACGCCTAGAGAGTTTAGCTCAGGAGCAGCTATCAAGTATTGTAAGTCAATATATCCAATCAATCCCCGAATGTTTTTATTTTGCAGGCTTCTCGAAATTGTATGTTAATTTGTTAAGTAAATTGTTTTTTGAACCCTGTACGGTTTTCTTTTCGCTCATGTATTTCGCCGGATTTCCGCAAATCATAGGTACAACTTTTTTCTTGCTTTTGACAGAATTCCCGCACACGCAAGTCGGGGATAGAGTTGGCATCTGGTAAACACCTCCCCTCTTCACAATCTCTCATTCCAATTCTCAAAAGGAACAATTCAGTCACTCACATATTCACAGGAAACTAGATCGTGGATGAGCAAAGACAAAGGCGGGGAGGAAGTTTCCTACCTATGTAAGTCTTATTTAACTCCATGATGGGCAGAGCTGAAAACAGACTGGCATAACCTAAACAATATCTGAGTTCTTGGTAAACTATTTTATGCCTAAAAAGCCTTTTTGCTGTTGGAGAGCAATTGCTATGGTGGCCCTACCCATGAACTCGACTATGCCCGTATGCGACAAGAAGTCTATTAAGAACCCCAATCCGCGCAAAGACAAAAGTTTTTGCTATACATTACTCAAAATCCCTTTTAAACCGTTTAAACCTGAAAAAAAGAAACATCTTACTGGAGAATGCTGAGGGTCGCTTGTGTTATGCCAGCAAAAAGAGCTGTCGTGAAAGCCAACCAACGGTAATAATGTGCATTCTTGACCGGTTCAATCTCATTTTGCAACATAGCTCTTAGAAGAAGTGAAACGACTGCCACGGGCCCTATTGCAATATCTCTCGAGCTACCCATGTCAGCGTAAAATGCAAATAATAAAAGCCTCATTCACGAAAACCAGAACCAGTATAATCAACAAACGAACCAAATGTTCTAGCAGAAAAGAACCATTACGTTTTCATCTCCCCCGTTTTGTGCCCGAAGTGGTATAGGAAAAAATCAAGGAAAAGCCGAAAGAATTAATTTAGAGTTACCTCACCTGAAGATACCTACCAATTCTGGTATTTCAAAGAGAATGAGAGAGGGACCATCCATGGTCGATACCGTGAGGGCCACCTCTCTTATCGGTGAGTTATCTTCTGGCTTCGCTTCGCCCACTGGTTCTTAGATACTGAACAAATCTTTTTTGAGTCAGATGTGAAGAAAAAATGTATTCAAATTCTGAAAAATGAGCAAAAAAGAAAAAATCCTTCTTCTTCAGAATAGAAAAGTGAGAATCAAATTCTCTTCATTTTCTTTCAAACTGCCAACAATTTTTTTCTCATAGAATGAAGATACTAATGTTAATTAATTCAACCTTTGTAGAACTATCATATGTCCACTTGACTTGGTTTAGCCCGTGAAGGTGTACTCTGCCCCATGATTCGACAGTATGACCTGGATAAATACAAGGGTGAAAGTTACCAAAAAGAATATAATCAGGCGTAAGTATGGGACTGAAGGGCATACCACAATTCAAATTTTAATAATTCACATAATTCAACAACCATCAAAATAAATTTAAAAATCAAAGCACCAAATCATCATACCAGAAATTTCACAAGAAATAGCCTCGTTAATTTCACATGTCATCACCTCAACTGTCTCCTTTGCCGACACTGAATGCCCAGCTGCACATTTGTTCCTGCAAAAATAAACAATTCACCAAACAAAAACAAGTAATAAAAAGGGAAATGGTTATCGAAAAATTTCTGACGGAATACAACGCCTTTATGCTAATCAAATTTGCAATGAAACAGAAAATCATATACCTCCAATTGCTCATGAAGTCGCTTTTTTACCTCCATCTGTAGTTTAAGCGCTTCAGTTGTTTGCATTCCACTACAACGAAGAACACAAATTCTTTATTAGTCCAATGGATAGCTTAATAATCGAAATAATTTATAGCAATTTGGTAGTAAGCTAAACAGTCCATAAGCAAAAGAAATAACGACAAATAATTAGATATGAGAAGCATGCGAAGAGATATCTCAAAAGTTGAAAGATTGAAAATAGTAGCATAAACCACAACAATCTAACATCCAGAAAACTTGAGATTGGAAGCTCAATCAATCTAACATCGAGAGATATTGCAAAGGTGTGAAGAAGCCCCACCTCTTCCGTCCCAGGATGGTAGTTCTCCATGAGATGAACTTACTGGGTTGATCCCAAGAAGAAACTCTACCCTACTCTCAGAATCTCACTCATATCCCAACACGGCCGCACCTTTTTCTGTCCACAAGATTGCAGCTCATCAAGACTCCAATTTAAATTCAGGTATTGATGTCTGGATGCTTGGCTCTTTGTTGTCGTACACTGAAAAATAAAAACCCGATTTTGAAATCAATATCTATGTAAGTTCCCCAGGTTTCATTTCTAGCTAATTTTTTTTGATTAATTTTTTGCTTTGGTGATCTAAGATGTTTCTAATTGTCAAGGAAGTTGATAGGGTTCCTAGAACTGATCGTGCATCTTGTTTTTGTGGATTTGGATAATGTGAACTCATGTGTTGCTTTAGAAAGATTTTTGCTCTAATATGCTGAATAATTAATTTATGCCCAAAACTGTTATTGTACTGCTTGGCGAATGGAATTTAAGAGAATCAACTTATGTGTCGATTTATTGTGTTCTTGTCTGCCTATTGGTTCTTTTCTTTTGTTATGTGTGTGCATTATATTTAGTAGAGGTGAGATGCTCTTACAAGTTTAAGTTTTAGGCACAGCATTGTTAATTCACTCTACTTGATAATTTCGTGTTGATATTGTCATGTTATTACTCAACATTACTTGCACAATTGTTTGTTTGTATTTCCGCATAGTTGAATGTATCGTACATATATCAGTTTTTAGTGTACAACATTAAAATCTACCTTTGTGGACGTGGCGATATTTGGAATTGGCTGTGTGGGAAGCCTGGGATTGTAGACATTAGCACTTCTGAGTTTCTCAACTTCCACACTAAAATTGTGAGCCATATTATGTATAGCTATTGGTTTGAAGGAAGGTATCGATAAGGAAGTACTTTATCTTGGATGATTGATGATGTCTGCATTAAGTAATAAGGAACAGAAAATACAAATAAGAACAAAAAATTCACGTGTAGCATACAAAGGGCAACCAAAATGCCAAATAACGTGGCAATAATGTAAATAAAATGAAACAAGCAGGTAACTCACCCTGTCACCCAAATCTACTTTCACACATTTATCTTCAGATTGATTGTGGATTGTGGTTCTATTTTGTGGCATGTTTCGTATTGAATAAAAACTTATGGTTGTAATTGTCAGATTGTGCCTGCTTTTTACTTTGGAATTACCCTCTATTCGGTCGGTGCTGGTAAACAAGTGTACTGTAATTATTAGAAAATAAAGTGAATGCATGCAGCTTATCCATAATTTATGTGAGATGGTTCTTTTACCTACATGGTCTGACAACTTTGACAACATAATTAGCAAGGAAAATATTTGGATGAACCTAGAATGCACTTCCTATTATGTAGTTTTTGCAACATCTTATAAATTTAAGATGTTGCAGGTCCCCGTGTTATTTTTCATGTAGTTTTTTTATATTAGTCCGCTTTGTTATTGATTTACACCGTGCAAGATTTCAAGCATATTCAGGCAGTTTTTTCAAGCTTCACATTTTAGATTCTTTTTTTTTCGTGATTGTATTAAATTTAATAATAATAAAAAAATATTTATTAATTGAATTGATTATTTTAAAATTATGTCTGACATTTCTAAAAAAAATAATGATAAAAAATAAGGGATTGAACTCTGTCCCAGATGCGTACGTTTAACATACATCAAATTTTAACTTCATTATTAACTAAATTTGAGCTGGCTGTGCGTGCACAACCGGAAGCTAACTAGTATATATATATATATATATATATATATATATATATATATATATATATGGTTGCGCTCCAGTGAGAATGACTCTTAATGCGAGAAATAAGAATACATTGTGGCATGTGTGCATTACACATCACACAAACACCACCTACCCACTTACCCTCTCTCACGCACTTACACACACATACATGAATAAATTAGACACACGCACCCCACCAACCCATCCTCTCACCTTCTCACACACACTGACACACACCTACTCGACACACACACACCACACACATACACACACAGTGCCGGCGGAAACACACACACACACCACACACATACACATGCAGCCCAACCTCCCCGCCTCAGCCGTCGTTGCCGCTCGCCGCCGCCACCGCGCCTTTGCCGCCGTCGAACATTCCTTGAAAATCTCATCCGACGTCCTCATCTGTTACGCCGCTGACGTCCTCATCCTTACGCCGTTGTCTTCTTCACAAGGAGTCCTCATGCCGCCGTCGGAGCCGTTGAAACACCGCCGCCGGAGCCTGCCAAGTTCGACGTAGAAGTCGACGTCTAAAAAGTCGCTCGTAAAACTTCCGGCCGCCGCTGCGAACTCTCGGTGAGTCAGGCGGCCGGCGATGGCTCATAGGCTTCCTTGCCGGCGACATGATAAGCTGGGACGGTGCAGCAGGGCGGAGTCCCGCCGGCGGCGGCGGAACGGCTGAGGATCTGGTTTTAGGGCTGAGGGCTAGTGATTGTGAATTTGATATGTTACAAGGGTTGGTTTGCAATTTTAAGATTTTTAATTATTTACAATTAAACCATTGGGGTCAATGTGTGAATTCATAAAGATTTAATTTTATTCCAATTTAGTCTATGAGCCAAATCTGTAATTTATAGAAAATATATCAAAACACATTATTTTGTATGTATTTTTTTAAACATATATATCATGTCTTAAAAATAAAAAATAATATAAAATTATTATATAAAAATATTAAAGTCTTAATATATTTTAATATATAAATGTGTAATAAATTTGCAAATTTAAATTAGGTATCTTTATTTAATATATTTCAATTGAATTCTTTGGTCAAATGTGTAATTTATATAAAATATATAAAAAATATTATTTTTTGTATATTAAATACACTTAAAAATATTATTTTGTATATTAAATACAGTTAAGTTTTATTGCACTTTATATAGCCGAATATTGCACTTTATAAAACAATACATTGCACTTTATAAAACTCACATGTTTTAAATAACCAATCGCACTTTATAGAGCCAAATATTGCACCTTATACAACAACACGTTGCACCTTATAAAACATGTTTTAAATAATCGATCGAACTATATAAAAAATATTATTTTTTGTATTTTATATATATGTATATTATTCATTTCATCAAACAACAATATAAAATATTAACTAAACAATTTATTAATACGAAATATATATTTTTTTTATAAAAAAATAATTGCACTTCGTATACACATTAGTGTTAGACTGATTGCACATTAATGCTTTCAAGATTGCACTTTAACGTTAGACGTATTGCACATTAGTGACTGTCAGATTGCACTATATCGACCGATAATCCGACCAATTAATAACTATTTAATTTTGTAAAAAAATGTATCGGTGTTTATAATGTGCGTGTAAATTCACAAATTTGTTCATATAATTTATTGTTAATGTGCAATATATTCAACTTTTGATAAATTATAATACCATTACACTATTAAAATATCATCTAATAAAATTTCTAAAATTGCATAAGACCCCTACAAATTATCTAATTCTCACCACAAATCCCCAACACACAAAAAATACAAAAAAAAAAAAAAATTAAAAAGAGAAAAACTATTTCGCTACAGCACACAAACAAATACGACACACACACACACATACGGCTGCAGCCGCCCGACCGCCTCCGCCCGTCTTGTTTCTCGGCCGTCTTCTCCGGCCAGAGACGCCGCCGCCGTGTCCTCACCAACTGGAAATAGGTCGCGGTCACTGGCAAGGATCTGTGGCCGTGAATGTCGGTCCCCGTTATAGACTCATCGCTGCCGTGCCTTCGCCGACTGGAAGCAGGTCGTTTCGCCGCCGCTCGACGGGCCGTCGATCTCATAAAGGCGGATGCGAATGGCGCCGGAAATCCTTGCGGTGAGATATGGACGGGTGCCGGAATCGGTGGAAAGTGGCGACACCGGATCTGTCGACGGCGGCGACATAACCGGCTACTTGGTGGGAAGCGTCTTCGGTCGATACCGACGGTGGTGGGATGCGTCGCAATCTTCCGGCGGGGAGAGGGAGGAGGAGAGATAGAAAGTGAGAGAGGAGGGAGAAGAGAGAGGAGAGAGAGAGGAGGGAGGAAGACGATCCGTAAGAAGGGAGAGAGAAGAGAGAGGGGAGAGGAGAGAGGAGAGAGAAGAGAGTGTTGTTGGAGATAATTTATTTTATTATTTTGTGAAATTATACCACTACCCTCTAAGGTATTTATTTGTCCATGAGATGGCAATATATTTACAGTTTTGCCACTAGGTTTGATCATTATAATTTAATTTTGACTTCATCATCACCGTTGATATAGTTGATCTAATGATCCATGATCATTCTTAATTCTCGCATTAAGAGTCATTCTCATATGATCCTTTATATATATATATACATATAGGGAATGGTTCCAATGCATTCACTTATTTAAAGTGAGGACGTAAAACTCATTTTTAGCCACAATATTTGGTACATATCATGTGTGGCCAACATTTACTCTTTTCTTTTTATTATTTTAATTATTTAAATATTCTTTTGACCCGTTGACTCCGGTGTTGATCGTTGACTTCCGGCGTTGACCGTTCACAACTAACCTTCCAACTAGGTTAGTTCTCTGTAGTTGCTAGGTTAGTTCTCTCTAGTTGCTAGGTTAGTTCTTTGTAGTTGCTAGGTTAGTTCTCTGTAGTTGCTAGGATATTTCTTTCTTGCTGCTAAATTAGTTGTCTTTTGTTGCTAGGTTTTTTTTTTTTTTTTTTAAAACAACAACGCCCCGTTAAAACAAACAACGCCCCTAGGGGCGGGGGATTAGGCTGGATCCCCAACCTGTATATAGATCATAGCCCTAAAATGGGCCAAAACACTCAACATAGTCTCACAATCCAAACACTACAGTAACGAAAACAGCAAATGAAAATAGTACAAGGTCTATCATCGGGCTAACAGGTGCCCGGAATAAGTGGATGGTCTAAGTAGAGCAAAACCAAAAACCTAATCTACTGTTAATTATCTTTAGCTGCTAGGTTAGTTGTATTTTGTTGCTAGGTTAGTTGTCTGTTGTTGCTAGGTTAGTTATTTGTAGCTGCTAGGTTAGTTGAGTTTTGTTGCTAGGTTAGTTGGTCTTAAGTTGCTAGGTTATTTTTTTTCTTGCTGCTAGGTTAGTTGTCTTTTGTTGCTAGGTTAGTTTTTTCTTGCTGCTAGGTTAGTTGTTTGATGCTGCTAGGTTAGTTGTCTTTTGTTGCTAGGTTATTTCTTTCTTGCTGCTAGGTTTTCTTTTTTTTAAACAAACAACGCCCCAAGAGGGCGTGGGATTGGGCTGGATCTCCAACCTGTGCATAGATCAAGGCCACAAAATTGGGGTCCAAAATGTCAACAAACTACAGTCTACAAAGTCTCAGAAGCAAAACAGAACAAAAAGAAAAAAACCAAAAGGAAAGAGAAAAAATAAAATACAGAGTCTGTCATCGGGCTAACAGGAGCCCGGAAGCAAAAGTTTAATTTAATGAAAGAAAAAATCCTAATCTACTGAAAGCGGAAAGATGGATATCCAAGCTGGTCCATCCGTACAAGCGTGCGAAGTCGGAGTGGGGCAGTGTCGGTCTGAAACGTATGGGGATCTGGTGTGGTGACGCCAAGGCTGGCAAGGTAGTCAGCAGGTCTGTTCCCCTCATGGAAAATGTTCGTGATCCTGTGATGGACAGACCGAAGTAGAGCTCTAATGCACATAAGTGGGTGCTGAATCTGCCACGAGCCCTGATGGCCCGAAGTCAGGAGGGTGGCAACAGTCGCGGCATCCAGCTCGATCCATATATGACTAGAGAGGTGGACAGCGATCTGAAGCAATCTGTA